ACAACAACAGACAAGCAGCCTCTTATAGCTGCCATCATCAGTGACCTTATTGAGCAGAGTTAGTTCGGTTACAGACAGATGTGACCTGGATCCATATTTTCTTTCCGTCCGACATATAAGTAGAGTAGAAAAAAAAAAAAAATCACCCGGGCTTGTTTCCTTGCTGGGGTACAATTTAGAGTGTCAAATGAACCCAACATGCATGGGGAACCCACACAGAGACATGCTTCGCGTCAAACTAATCATCTTGAGGGGGGAAAAAAAGACAGAATTGGCCGATTAAGTCTGATTCACTGTTAAATTTTGCCACAACGAGTTATTCATTCTGTTCGTAATAATATAAGAACATATCGGGGGGGGGGAAAAGGTGTATTCTCTCTTTTCTTGTCTGTGTTGGCTGAAAACAAAGCATTTCAAGTCAGACCAGTTCAATCCCTGGGATGTGGACTCCTGCTCAAATGCCACACACAGACATGCTGCCTTAGAAAAAAAATCTACTATGACATTCCTTTCAGTGTTTTACCTGTAAACACACGACGCGTGTGCACGGTCATCCACGCGTGGTCAAGGTCAGCTGCAGGTACTGTCCGGCCTGAAGGTCTGGAGCCAGATTCTGCCTCCTCGATAATGCGGTAAACACTGTAATAGGTCTCTTAATTAGTCATTTGTGGTGAAATGACAGTTTTCCAGTCCCGGAAAAAGAAAATTCCAAATTTAGCTTCAAATTTTAAATTGGAATTTAGGCCTCATACAACCGAATCCGGTCAGCTATAGTGGGGAACTTCTTGACCTGCTTAGAGCATGGGGAAATATTCTGTTAGCAGTTATATGCATTCCAAATAGTTTATTAGAGAAGCCACAAATTCCATTTAATTCCATATATATGAAGCAGATGGATGTCAGTCCCCGCCCAGGGTTGGTGAATAAAGACCCTCTGGGCTTCAAATGGAACCCTCATGAGGCATGACGATCCACTTTTTTGTCATGTCCAGCAGAACGCATTCAATTGTAAACACACCTTTAAGGATTTTTACTTTCACTGAAATTCACTTTTATTCTAAGGGCAAATTTCACGCCTTTGCGTTTCTCTTGTTTAATAATGTGAAGTAGGACATTTTCTTTTAGAGGATTTAATGTAAAAACATGAAGCGTGTCGGACAAAGAATCTCTCACTATCCTGGAAGTGGTTGAAATATAGAAAAAAGGCAGTAGCCATCTTTGTTTTATCTCAGTTTTTTTCCCCAGATTCTCACACATTAGAGAAACAAAGTGTTTTTGGATTAAAGGAATGATTGTAGTGGATATTTTGTATACTTCTTTCACTCACTGACTTTCCTTATATGGGGAAGCCAAAAATACAAACTCTACCACCTCTATGGCCTTCTGTATCTTCAAAAGGAATAGAAAAACCAAAATATGTCTTACATGTATCTCCTTCCATTTTTGAAGTAACAAAACTCTAAAGGGATCTTTTATATGCGACTAAGCTGCTTCCTCTATGTATTTTCTCGACACCGTGACCAAGTGCTGGCTCAGTGGGAACAGGCCTTTCCTTTGGTGGCTACTCGCCTTAAAACAAAGGTACGTTATCAAAATGAATCTGAGCTAAACTTAATAAATACTACAGCTAAGGATCAGGTTGTTACTAGACTGAACTGGAGTGTGGAGGTTCTACTCCAAAGGTCCTCCACGGCAGTCTGACGCAACATTTTCCACCTCTGAGGCTTTTGATCTTCAAGGCGCGACAGGTTTTTCAGTAGCTTCCCGGGAAAAGGGATGCCAGGTTTTTTGGACTCTGAGGTCAGCTCATGTTACGCGTTTGGCTTGGACGGATCGTTCGTGTTAATATTGACGATTCTGGTTTCATCCGTGATGGCCTCTTAGAAACAATTTAGGCCGTGATAAAAGGAACCCGTGCACGGCCCCTTTAATGGGTCCCTTTCACCTTGAGGCTGCCCCTCCCCGCACATCATTACACACCACATGTGTTTATTTTGTACACAGGCTGACAAAAGGTAGCAGTTGTGACTAGGAGTGGTTACCGTCAGACACCAGGCTGTATCATTAAAACAAAAAAAAAAAGGAAAAACTCACTTTTTGTGACTTCAGCATCAAACAGGTGCTGCCATGTATAAACACAGGAAACGAGGATTGTAGTTTTTTGCAAATTCACACTGACTTTGGCCCGAGCCACCGATATGGCGGGAGCACGTTCCTCGGCAATTACCAAAAAACCCGTCTGAGCAGGCCTGGAACGGCAAATAGGTTGGAGAACTAAAAACAACCATTACTTAGGGAAGGTTTAAACAGATTCCATAGGAGAATGATGGTTGTACAGCTGAGAAATTATGGGAATTAGCACACTGGGAAAGACAGATTCCCTCGCGAATATCAGACTTCGTCAGAGGAAATAAACAATGTTTCTACTTACACGGTAAATGATACAAATTGATCAAAAAATGATTTGATACGGGTCACTTGGGTTTGGAATCGTGGCAGTGAATACAACCCACTGAGTGGCCCCTTTCTGTTGAATAATGGTCTTTCCTTTTTAAAAGAGAGATGACCAAATGTGCTGAGCATTGCTAAACTGTTGAAAAGCTCAGAAAGTCTAAAAATGGTATCTTGACATGAGCAGAGATGTCCCATCCTTACATATAATTTGATTTAAAGAGAGTCCGATGCAACCCATTTGTGTAGGAATTCAATCTTACAGGAAGCGGTCATTAAAGATAAAAGCAAGTGGCTATCTTTTTTAGAAAGTTTGGTTCAGATTTTTTCCAGACATGCAGGATGATGAGACACATTAGCAACTGAGCTCATATCGTCCTTGAGGGGATATTTAAAGGCAAACAGTAATGTGCAATTCAAACAAATGCACAGAGTTCATCAAACCGGGACGAGGACACAGTGCAAAGCAATTTAGTTGTACGCATAAAAACAAAGCAAACTGTGTAAGAGTGATTGTTTTACATAAAGAATCCACATTGTGTAGGGATGCCCAAATGCATACCGGGCATGCTAAGTGCCAATTGGTCATACAGTTGGCCTTTTCCTGATTGTGAAACTCTCGATTCCTCTTGTATACACTCGGACGATCGTTTCTACAACTCAGAAGTTTAAACACAGCGAAAATTGGTTCAATTTGCGTGCATACTTAACGGTGCGATGTAACCAGGGCAGAGCTTATCCTCCCTGTGGTTTGACATGGGTGGCTGAGAGCAATGTACACAGCGCTTAGCACGCTCCCCGAGTTAAAGCGGGAACAGACATGAAAGTGAGCCCCACAGCCATTAGCGTGAGCGGATTTCTGATGGGAACGGAGCAGCTGTATTGTTTGTGCTCTAATGACTGTTTTAGTGGAGCCCACGTCACGAACAATTGCAGGTCTGTTCCCTGTAATCTAGCCTCATGCGCTTTGTCGTGGTCGGCATGTAGTGATTTCACCTGCGTAGTCACTGGAAATTAAAAATCTTTAGCGACGGATCGACTTCAACCGAGAGACGTAGAATCGTCTATTTTTAAACACTGTGGTCAGATGTTATGTTCTTCGTGTTCGTCTTCCGGACGGGAGATTTCTTTAGCTTCTGGACTGTGAATTTATGATGTCTCCATAATGGAATCTACACATCCGAAGTGTTCAAGGGTTTTGTTTATCAATGATAGTGGGACAGTGGGACCAAATGGACACATAATCTCACTCATATCATCCAGTGCTAATGTTTTAAATGAGGAAAAAATGTTGAATAAAAATGTAAAGCCTTCCTCTGCCCATATATATATGATATATATATATATAATATAGTTTGTTCATCCTCACATATCCGGTTCTTATTTTCTTCATTACCTGAGTTAATGGTGCAGGAAATCCAAAGCTATGAATTATAAACATTATTGGAGATCCAAACTATTCCAGCTGGATGATGCAGGACACCTGGGGGTTTGCTTATTTTGCAAGGGCAGGGGTATAGCTATAATTATTCAGAGGCTGCAAGATGGTGTGGGGAAAGAGAAAAATGACGACAGAAATGCAAAGAAGCTCTATGAATTTAGACTTTAAAAAAAAAAAAGATAAACAGGAAACGGGTACAGGCCGAAGGAGAGAGCATTGTCAGGGGGAGGTCATCTGAGCTGCATTACAGTATTAGCCAAGGGAAAGTAGAAAATTAGAAGGGAGAGTATATTAGATGGGTGAGAATGCACAAAAATGTTATGTATAACGATCAACCTATTGGAATACATACTGTATGTATATATATATATATGCACACACACATATATATATATAGGACTGTCCAGGGTGTACCCTGCCTCTCGCCCGTTAACCACTGGGATTGGCTCCAGTTCCCCCCGCGACCCCATTAGGGAATAAGCGGTATTGATAATGGATGGATGGATATACATATATATATATATATAAGGAGATATTTATATTTAAGGAGACTTGAATGCGCCCCCAGGATATGGCCCCCCCCCCGACTAAGAAAGTTGGAAACACACCCCTGTCATTTAGGATAAGTGGCTTTTCGAATGATACCTCTGGTTTGTCTGTACCTGTTCTGTACAGTAGCAACTTTCTCTAATTCAGATAACTGACATCTGGGGCCAGCACTAAGTGTCTTCCCACACGGTCGCATCTGCAGTCCTCCGGCCGGGGGGGGGACCAGGTAGCACCGCCCCGCCTCCTAACGCCCGCGTCCGGACGGCGTCGGTCGATCCTTCCCCGTCAGAACGACGCAGAGCTCCGTAATTGGCCTCCCGTGCTCCCGCCCCTTCCCGCGACAAGGTAACTTTTTAATGGGGTTTTCGGGCGGAGTCAAGACCCCCCCTCCCCTCCCCTCCGACACACAACTGGATATAAAGACAACCTCCCCGCAGAAATTCTGCCCGGTACCTCTCTCTGACCAGCTTTGACTCCATAAAGCGGAGGGAGAAACAGTCCGCCGGTGAAACCGCGTACAGGAAGAAAGACCCCCCAGCGGGAAGTTAAAAAAGGCAAAATGCCCGCGAATAAAGACGATGGCGGATGGCAGAAGTTCCTGTGGGATTCGGAGAAAGGAGAGCTGCTGGGTCGCACGGGGGGAAGTTGGTGTAAGTAATGTTTGCCAGCCTCACCGGCACGTCTTGTTGGTGTATTTAAACGTTTGTGTTTGTCGCTAATTTTTGCTTAATTAAAAAAAAAAATTAACCGCGTTTCCGGGTGTGGGAGGGTTGCTCCGTTCGCTTGCCGTGTCGGTCCACCTGTTTGATTTGACTTTGCGGCTTTTTTGAGGGGACGGTCGTCTAATGTCACCGCGTTGCTTTCGACTTCGGCTCTTGTCCTCTGGCTCTGAGTCTTCATTTAAACGAAACCGGAGTGTGTCTTTTTTCCACAGAGAGCAGTGACGTGACGGTGACAGTGTTTCGAGTGCCCATTGTCCATGCAGGCAGCATACTCACTGCGGTGTTAGCGGACGGTTGAAGCTCACGGTGGAGGATTTTTTTTCTTTTTCTTTTTTTTTTTTTTTCGGGGGGGCAGAAACTTGTCTTTTTGGCAGTGACTGAAGACGTAGCCAAAGGGTTAAAAATGCATCATAGTCCAAGGTGACTCAAGGTGGCGAGGCCTGCTCATAAACCGAGAGGACTATTGATCCGTGTCGCGTTGCTCTGATCAGGTGTCGGTGTAACCTTAGCAACGGTGCAAGTCGTTAACTTTTTCGACCTTTCTTCTCTCGTTTCCCCGGCAACGGAACTGCCGCCCCACTACCACCACCACCCCGGGAATGTCACAGTTATGCGAACACCTGGAGATGGAAGTAACGCAGGTGTTTTGTTTTTTGTCCCGACGGGGGACTGCTCGACGAAGTCCAGCCGCAGTCCGAGCCGAGTTTTAGTGGCCGCTGCCGCTCGTAGTTTCTCTAAGGGTCATTTGTCCTTCCGAGGTCACCTGAAAGTGCTGATGCATATTGGTATTTGGCATGCGCAGTGCTGCGTTCAAGGTTGTGATGAAATGACATCCGGTCTGACAAATGTACACCTTTTGGTCCGGGCGGGGGGGGGATGACTTTGTCAAGACTAAAGAATAGTCTTGACAAATGAATTATAAACTATCCTCGTATATAATGAACCTTTTTATAAGTGAAACGCAATTATTTGCGTGACATATTTCAATTGTCTTTTTACGGATTCCTGTAAAATCCAACGAAAATTAAAGGTCGCTTTGCCTCATTCGCATCACGTCGTTTTAACCTAATGTCATCACTCTGAAACATGCATTTAAATCTAATTAAATGAAACAAACTCGAACAATATTTCTTGCATTGTTCCTGCAGTGATTTAAATGCGTCATGATGAAGGAGCCATTAAAGCCAGCCATTTAAAACAAGCGAGAGAGAGGGTTTTGAACTTTTGTTTCATTCAGTTGTGGAGGCGGTCTAATGATCTGGATGACTCTTGAATCTTCACACAGCAGTTTATCCTGATGTATGCTTCTTTTTACATATTGCAGATTGTTTTTGCGACACCCTCTTAGTCACATTTGAAGGCATCTGATTGTGTTGAAAATCTTCCAGTCCTCATTTATGCACTTTCCGAAACATAGGATTTTGCAATACATTTCTTTTTCTATCTGCACATGCTGTGAGTTGAGATTTTGTACGTTTTGCAAACATAAAAGGCCGATAATTGATCTTTGTGGCTTTGCTCGCCGTTAGAATTCGGAAACGGTCTCTTAAGACTAATTTGCTGAGCTGCCTGGTGGACAGAACGTGACCTATCATACTATCGTCCCTTTTTCTTTTCTTTTTTTTGGTGTTGTTCAGTGAGAATGTGGCTGCAGGAACAAGGCTTTCCTTTTATTCTCACTGCTTCTCAACGGTCCTAACAATGAAATGGGTGTTTCAGTTCTAAGAACCCATTCTCGACTGGGCAAATTCTTTCCCGGTGAGCTACAATTGCGACACTTTTGCACTTGGATGCAAAGCTATCTAATCTGTATGTTGCCATGGCTGCTTATTGTGCAATTTAATCTTTACAGCTCCATGTGCGGCACTATACTGACACATTCTTTGTCTTTTTTTTAATCTCCTCTGCAGTCAAAATTACGCTGTTCTATGTCATCTTCTATGGCTGCCTGGCTGGGATATTCATTGGCACTATCCAAGCCATGTTGCTGACCCTGAGTGACTACAAACCCACCTGGCAGGACAGAGTTGCCCCTCCTGGTAAGAACCGCTTCCCCTTAGCTGGCTGTGTTAATGTAAGCTAGCAGATCTTCTTTGGTGGTTTGTTCGCTAACAAATGACCTTGAATTAAATAGGTATAGCTGAATAAAGCACAAAGGAGGCCACAAAGGAGTTATGTGTTAACTTAAAAAGTCCTTTTTAAGCTGAGATTTCTCATTTTTATGCTGACCTTCTAATCACAAGCAGCCCTTTTTTTGCTGAGCTTGCTGATCATTTTTCGCCGGTCTCAGGAAGAAAACTTATCTGAAATGCAAACAAACAGCCTGAAAAAACCCAGCCTCCGGTCAAGGGATTGAACGTTTCATAACGTATATTGAGTTACTATGACTTAGGAGTTGACTTTGACACCGCTTAAATGTAATGACGCATGTGGAGTAAGCTAATGTCACCTCAAGGTGAGTGAAGGTCATCAGAAGCTCCGGGGAGACATGTTTCTCACTGGAATGTTCAAGGTGACTAATGATTAACCTTATAAAGCCTGAACCAAGAAAAGAGGATAAAAATAACAATATTTATGTTAGTTTTTTTTTTTTTTAATCAACATTTTCTCCACATTTATTTTTATACAATAAACCAGAATTGTAAAAATGCTTTATAGAACATAGAAGATAGCATAGAACTTAAGAAGTTTCTACTATGTTGCAAGAGCTCTCATAAATGTATGTATTAGATATTATTCATAAGACATTTAAGGGCTGAGCAAGAAAAGGTTTTACCCGAAAAAACGATAGCGTAAAGGATGCTACTAATGCCTCCCAGAAATTTAAATATTAACTTTTACCTTTTTTAATTTTTAGAATTACTCTACAATGATGGTTTTCTACATGAAAAGTAAAGACTTTTAGTCAAGTGCACGGTCATGGCCGCATATTGTTTTGCAGATTAACTCTTTATAGATATATCCGCTCATGGCTGTCCCAGAGCGGGCTTCCCAGTGTAAGCTCCACGGCCTAGTTTCCATAGCAGGCAGGGCCATCGGGGGGGGGGGGGGGTTCCAGGCCAAGCAGGCTGTGCATGGAGGAAACTGCTGCAAATCCATCAAATATGAACCTGTACAGCCTCTGACTGTCAATGTTCTGGTGCGCCAATAAAACCAACTTATCACTTTTCAGGATTCAAACATGTTGCAGGTGGTGAACGTATTGAGCCCACCTCGGTTGAAATACTAAAAAACAAGAGGAAACCATAATCTAAAGACACTGAAATTGTTCAGATCAGCTCCAGTTTGTAAATGCACGAAACTTCCCACGTTACTAGTGTTCCGGGAAGTATCATGGTTATTTGAGTTTATAAACTTTACTCGTAAAGGACAACCGTAACCAACCGGCACCTGTCATGTTATGCCTTGCAGGCCTTTCACACACCCCTCGGTCAGATAAATCAGAAGTGTCCTTCAACCTAAACGACGTGGAGACGTACCTGCCTTACACCAAAGCTCTGAAAGAGTTCCTGGCCAAGTACAACGAAGAGGTCCAGAGGGACCAGATGAAATTTGAAGATTGTGGAGGTAAGGCTCATTCTCAGTGCCGAGTTTTAAACCTCCCGTGTTGTCCGTCAAACGTATCACATTTAACAAATTCTCTTGCAGAGGATCCTGCAGAGTACAAGAACCGAGGGGACTTGGAGAGCGACATGGGGGTCAGAAAGGCCTGCCGTTTCTCCAGAGCAAACCTGGGACCTTGCTCTGGCCTGGATGACCCCGACTTTGGCTTCAAGGAAGGCAAGCCCTGCATGGTTGTGAAACTCAACAGGATCGTAAACTTCCGTCCGAAGGTACCTCTGCATTTTTGAGGGTCTAAAATTTTGGAGACTCGTACAAAATGACTTGATTAATTGCATAATTGATTTATTTACAAATTACTTTATGCTGAAGAGGATCCTTCAATGCTTGATCCTTTTTAGACCTCTGACATTGTCACATAGGTGGTAGTATACAGAACTATATAGTGTATATAGAACTGTAAATCAACAAATGATGCAGTACCAGACTAAACAACATTCGGAATGATTTTTAAACATTACAGTTTGGATTGAGATCAAAGCTCCTTACATGGGGAAGGCCCTTTTTCTAAAGGGGAACGAATTGGACAAGTACTTGAGTAAAAAAAATTCAAACGAACAAATTCATATAATTTGATGGAAAATCCCATGAAAACACTGTTCCCGACTGTCAAAAAAATCAAATTATCAAAATGAATTTAAAGCAAAATCCAGTTGTTGAAAGCCCTTCTCTGTAGCATTTCATTAGAGCCTCTAAAATGACGATAGGGGTAATTAATTCAATTGGTGTCCAGACAAGTTGGCAAGCATTGGATGTCTCCTAACGTCTTTTTGTTCTTTGTTTAGCCACCAACCACTAATGAATCCATTCCCGAGGACGCTCAGCCCAAGGTGCAGCCCAATGTGATCCCCCTCTACTGCACCAACAAGGTACACGAACCTTTTTAGTCAGTTTTTTTTTTTCTGATACAAATGGTGTTTCTACTCGTTCCCCCTCGAAACGATTACATTTTTCATTCCGTACCGTTCTCTGTATTTTTTTCTTGGGTTTCCCCCCCCCCATATAGAGAGAGGAAGATGCCGGTAAGGTCGGAGAGATCAAGTACTGGGGCATAGGGGGCGGATTCCCCCTGCAGTACTACCCCTACTACGGCAAGCGGCTCCACCCCCACTACCTGCAGCCCCTGGTGGCGCTGCAGTTCACCAACCTGACCCAGAACATGGAGCTGCGCATCGAGTGCAAGGTGTTCGGCGAGAACATCTACTACAACGACAAGGACCGCTACCAGGGCCGCTTTGACCTCAAGCTCATGATCAACAATTTATGACCGGCGTCAGGACCGTAGCGCCTTTTACTCGATACCCTCCTTTCCCCCCACCCTACTCTTCCTCTCAATTATCGTTAGCCATAACAGTTAAATTAATCACAACTAGTCTTGAATGATAAAAGGAGACAAAAAATACGTATAGTTGAGGAACCCGAAGTGTAATCTGTCCGCAATCATCCACAGCTTCCACACCTCTCTCTAGCCTTAGAGTTCAATTTAGAAGATCGTAGTAATAGGGGCCCCACCAAAAATGGTAATTCGCCTTTCCTCAAGCCATGGAACATTATTTGAAGATAACTATAACATGCGATTGTCTCTCATGCTTAGCGAGCTGTGTGGGCCCAACCCCCCCCCCCCAAATATCGCTGCCTTTGTGTGGTTACAGTGCGTAGTTTCGGAGTTAGCTGTAGACAAAGCCCACGCTAACCTCTTCCATTTTTTTTCTCGCGTCGGCAAGCTTTCGCAATTCTCGGGCGCACTAGCGTCCGATAAGAACGCCCGCGGCCATTTAGCGAATGATTTTTCTTAAATGGTCGGCTCACTCTTCTGATCTAAGGAAAAAAGTCTGCACTCCAGGAAATGTCTTTCCATATTTTTGTCTTTTACTGCTGATCATGGGATGCTGTTTTGTCTTCACGTAATCATGGAATGAATGGGTTTTTTTCTTTTTTTCTTCTTCTTCTCCCCTTGGTTTCATTCCTTTTAACTCTGATTTATTTTTTTTGCCTTGAATGTAGACTTGTGTGTCCAGCCTGTTAGACACTTTGGCCTGCTATTAGGGCAATGGTGCTAACTTGAGTTTTTAAGATTACTTTTTTCTTTTTTTTTTTTTTTTTGCTGGAATTATCGCAGCATTTTTTTGGTGTAACTGAATGTTTTTGACCATCTAAACGTGGTGGAAGAATTTTATATTTATGCAGGTGTACATTTTGTTTCTTTGCATAATATTGTAATGTATAAATGCAAAACCAAAGGGAGGAGTTTTAATGGTCGCTCAGAAGCAATGCAGTACTCATTTTAACGAATGTCATCATGTGGAGTGCTAAAGTCAATGTCTTGGTTAACTTCCCATCTGTGTTCTGACTGTGAATTTAGTTCAGGCAGTACAGAGAAAAAAAAAAAAAACATTCACGCTCTTCCAGAGCTCAGTGAGCTTCAGATGACCAACGCTGGTATATTAGATATCATAGGATCTCATGTTGATGCGGGGGAAAAAAAAACCCTCAACATTTAACAAGCCTTTCATTCGTTCATTCAACTTGCCTTTTCATCAAAGATGGAAACAAATAAAGTCGAAGTTGAACCTTTTTCCTGTCTTTCTTTTTTTTTCTTTCTCCCCCCTCCTTAATTAACATCTACTCGGTAAAATAACCTCGTAATGAAGCATGACAGTATGAGGATTAAAGCAGCTATAATGACCTTTTGGATTAATTATTGTGGAGCGTTTAAAGAAGATTATTTCTTAAAAACGTATGTATTTATAGCCTGATCCTCTCAGCATGGTTCTCTATACAGTCCCATGGATTCACCCTTATATGAATTTGAAAAGGATCAAAATACCTGTGGTATCAGCCACATTTTTTAGTCCAACAACGCGAACAAACACTTTTTTTTCAAACTTTGTCATCCTGTTTTCTTCTTCTGCATCACAAAATTCAACCCACCCCCCCTTCCCCCCTTTACCCTTCTCCCTTCAGGTCGAAATAGACGAATGAATGAACAGTTGTTGGCCGAGGGGGAACAGAGGAACTGGGCCGTTTCTGGAACTGTGAAGTCATTCTACTCCGTGTGTTGCCGGGAGGAAGGGGGGGGATTGGGTTGCAGATGCACGCCTCTGTAATTACAGAAGGCAGAAGTTAACATGGGGATGTTGTTTCAGACATCAGTGTGATGGTAACGTATCCAAAGGCCACCAGAACCAAACCGTTCCAGACCTGGCAACTTGGGGTGCATTCTTTTATATACACATCTCTTTATATATATATATATATATATATATATATATATATACTGTATATATTAATAACTGCTTCCTTGTAATTTAACCTATCTACGTATTTAACCCTATAATGCCAAATGTATCATATTTGATACATACGGTTTTTTGCATAATTTAATGGTAAAAACTTTGCTCAAAATCCTATTTTACACAATCAGATACACCTGATAACAGGGGGCAGAAGACTACACAAAAAATAATCTTGACCTATCACATAGTAATAAATTATTAATATCGAAAATGTATTTCTGTTTTTTCTTTTGACATATTTGGTTAAAAAGGGCAAATAAGGAATTAAAAAAAAATATATATATATTTTCTGTTTTGTTTTATTCTCGGTTCAGGCTTTAAAGGGTTAATACGTAATTTAATCTTAAAAAATCCTGACAGAAAAAGAAGTTATCTGTCTTCCCAATCAAGGTGTGATATCCATTATACTGCAGGACTTCTTGAGCCCGAAATAACTTTTTTTTTATTTTTTCGGGGTAGTGTTAACAACTTAAACCAGGAATTTGCACAGAAAAATATTGACTTTGATTAGTCAAAGGATTATTATTGCATCAAAGAAGATCCTGACATCTTCATGGACATAAATTCGAGCGGACTGATAAAAAATGTATGAAACAAGGAATTGAGTTTGAGTCTAAGAGGGGACACGCATATGAATACACATGAGATTTAAAAAAAAAAAGTTTTCCCAGGCCTGGACTTTGGGAACACAACAGGTTATATTGAGGCAGGCTTACCTGATGAAGAATTTCACTGATTAGCCTTTGATTTAGTATTGCATTAACCACTGTCTTTTGATGGATCAATACATTTTGTTCGGTCATTTATTACTTTTAAAGTGGATTTCGTTGTACTTTACACCTTTTCATAGATTGAGTGAAAGTCTGATAAGACGTTGGTAGATAAAATCTCTTTCACTTATTCACTAATATGGATTAAACAACCCGAACAAAACAGACAATATGGACACGGGTCAGAAATGTTTAGCTTTGCGTGAAGGGATTTATCTCACGACTTTCTTGACCAGCTTTGGAATCCCTGACGGCTATTTCTTATTCAGTTAAGCACATAATATCGACGCAGAAGTGCTATTTATTTCCTTTTTTATTGCCCTTGACACACTATGATTGCTAAGTAACGTGGGAAAAGATATTCTCTGTGCCATGAGCATAAAAGTGGAAATCTTTAAGATGGACAACCACCCCCATTAGGGAAAATATCAGTGTTAAATGGCTATTAATAAAGCGGCTAATAAAGTTCTGGTGAGAGAAGAGGAGCAGAATTAAATCAACTTTATGCAGCTCACGTTTTTTAAACAGTTCCACTCTGAGGATCTTTTCTGTCCAACTCGTTTTTATATCTTTTGACCACAAGAGGGTAACAGAGCTGCATGAATCACTGCAAACAAAATGTGGCTTCTGAGAATTACACTGAGCAGACAGCCTCTTTTTCCTTTCACTCAGAGGGGGGGAAATTGTCTGGAATTGAACCCTTTGATATTTCACACCTGTCCAAAAAAATGTGAGTGAAGCTTTTGTAGCCATACTATCTCATATAACAGGAGAAGATGGTAATGTTATGTAAAACCAATTTGGATGGTTACATTAGAGAGATGTAATAGTGGAGATATTTTTCTTTTCTAAAGATAATGGTTTACTATGTATTGATATTGAATAATGTCAATATCAATGCTTATATCAGCCCACAAACCTTTGCTGAATACTTCTCAGTCTCTTCATATCCTCATACATCCCTCTTACGAGGCTTATGCTTAATAATCTTGATTTATATTAATTCATTTTATATATACAGTGGGGGAAATAAGTATTTGACCCTTTGCTGATTTTGCAGGTTTGCCCACTTACAAAGAATGCTTATTTTTCCTCATCACATGGTTATCAATTTTTATGAATTCATATGATGTGATTTTCTGGAATTTTCTTTGGGATTCTGTCTTTCACTGTTAGAATGTACATATGATTAAAGTTATAGATTGTTGCATTCTTTGTAAGTAGGCAAACCTGCAAAATCAGCAAGGGGTCAAATATTCATTTCCCCCACTGTATATATCTATAAATTGTGGCGTGACCCACCTCAAAGCAGTACACCAGCTCCCATCATGCAGTCTGTTGTCCCCAAATGACATTAACGGTCTTACCACAGCCTTTACGATACGACATGCTGGGGTTAAACGGCCCGTTGGGAAAACAGGGACGCATGTCAGAAAGGAACAGGCTCAAATCTCCAGAGATCTCGACGAATGCAGCGGTGTGCTCTTTTCGTTTACCCGGCAACCACTGAGACGACGTCACGGCAACCACATCTGAATGTGCTCCGGGAGAATCATTTTTTGTAACCGTCCCTAAAGAATCAATAGGAATTCCGTAGAGTGATGAAAGAACACAATTATGAGGGAAAATGACCATGACCAGCCGAAAAATATCACTTTTTTGACACAGACTTTGTCTTAAACACAATTATCAATTTGCTCTTTGGTAGTTTTTTTTGTGGCTTGTTACTATAAACAGATCTAATAGCTTTTTAAACCATTGCTCAGCTGTTTAACCCTGTAATGCCAAATGTATCATATTTGCTTCATACGGTTTCTGAAATGTTTTGCGTCAGACACCTTTTGCATAATTTAATGGTAAAAACTTTGCTCAAAATCTTAATTTACACAATGAGATAGACCTGATAACAGGGGGAAGAAGACTACACAAAAAATAATGTTGACTTATCGCATAGTAATAAATTATTAATATCATAAATGTATTCCTGTTTTTTCTTTTTACATATTTTGTTAAAAGGCCAAATAAGGAATTCAAACAAAAAAAAAAGTCATTTTCTGTTTTGTTTTATTCTTGGATCAGGCTTTAAAGGGTTAAGGACATTGCCCTGGTAGTCACCTCTTACTATTATTTTCCAGAGGGAATCCCAAACTCATCAGTCCATGATGTTTAGGTGTTTCCCTGATTTGTGAAGATCCTTAAAATTTGTGAAACTTAAGAAATCAACAATCTCTTCAAAGGTATCGTTTCAATCCACAAAGAACTTTATTTATCCACCTGTCCTCTCTGTGTGAGGTGACATAGACTGTCCCTATGGGGAAGGGGGGAAGGGGGGGGCAGTAGAGCTGACACTGACTGTGATTAACTTAATTGGCGAGCCACATCTTTTGTCAGCAGTTTGTTGACATATATCAACAGCAGCATTGGAAATGAGCTGTTGATATGTTGACACCAACACATCCATCCAACAGTCATTATTTCTATTTATTTCATTCAATTTTAGATCCATTATTTCATCTTAAGTCATCCGTAGGGGGAGGTGAAATACTGTAGCTTCAACTTTAACCAGCTTACAGCTTCAGAGATATATATATTTTTTTTTTAATTTTTTTTTTTAAATGGGGTAACAGCAGTGGATAAAAGTTTTGGTTTCTGTTTTAGCCGAGTCTCCGATTAAACTTCCTGATTAGTTAGTAAGATTAGTTAAGACTGCATGGCGACAGTCCCACCCTCTCTGAGCTGCAGATGGAGTCCGATGTTGGTGCTTTGGCTCTTAGCACACACGCTAAGAGGATTTACTCAGACTTGAGGGGATATATATATATAAAAAAAACCCAGCTCTGGCTCCAGGCTGCACTGTTGATCTTTATAAGGAGTCCTTACCACAATGTGAGCGTTCACTTTATTTTTTTATTTCTATTTTTATTTTTTTACCTACATATCAAACATTTCAGGAACATATGAAGGTGCAAATGAACCATTTTCACTGTTGGATAACAAATCTAATAGGAACTACAATCCAAATAATAAATTACAACATGCAAAGTTAGCCAGAACTCACAGTGTCCCTTCAGTAAACAAAAAAAAAAACATGTCAGGCTTTGCAATTTTATACATATGAGAGACATAATAGAAGAGGAAGATTCAGTCCCGACTATTTATGCCTGAAATAAAAGAATTCTCATAACCTTTCCCATTAATTAATGGGGGGAAAGCTTATTCAGATCCAGTAATAGTACTGTTTCTGTGTTAGTTACAGGATTCTTGTATTGTGTTTGTCTCAGATCATGAAATTTAACACACCCATTCTTCTATTTGTTACTTGTTTACTTGTTTACTTGTTTACTTGTTTACTTGTTTACTTGTTTACTTG